TAGTGAGACGCACCTAATAAAAATATATAAAAAAAATTCGTGAAAAATAACTTGACTAAAATACCCCCGAAATGTTTCGGGGGTAGGTCAATTTTTTTCATGTAAAATATTTTTTTAATATTTTTGCAGATTTTTCTATTTTTAATGAACATATGCTTCAAATTTAAGGTCATTCCATTTTGTATAAAAAAAATGAAAAATAAAACACTACCGAAAATCGTAACCGTGTAATGAAATTTAGACAGTGAAGAGAGTAGGCAAAATCACTGTTCATTTTCGCCTATAGGCATTTTTTAGTGTCTTCTAGATATATATATATATATATGGAAGATACTACAAAATCGCTATTCATTTTCACCTCTATATATGGAAGATACTACAAAACGCCTATTGGCGAAAATGAACAGTGATTTCGCCTACTCTCATCACCGTCCAAAGTTCATCTCACGGTCACGATTTTCTTGTAGTATTTTATTTTTCATTATTTTTTCTACAAATCAGAATGACTTGAAATTTGGAGTGTATGTTCATCTTAGTGAGGCGTACCTAATAAAAATATAAAATAAATACTTTGTAAAAAAACATTTACCAAAATACCCCCAAAATTTTTAGGGGTATTGTGGTCAATATTTTCATGTAAAATATTTTTTGGATATTTTTCATGGATTCGCCTATTTTTATGAATACACACTCAAAATTTCAGGTCATTCTGATTTGTAGAAAAAAATTAAAAATAAAATACTTCCGGACAATCTTGATCGTGCGATGAACTTTGGATGGTGATGAGGGTAGGCGAAATAACGGTTCATTTTCACCTATAAGCATTTTATCCACTGTTCATCACACGGTCATGATTATCTGGTAGTTTTTAAATTTTCATTTTTTTTTATAAATCAGAATGATCTGAAATTTGGAAATGTATATCTTAGTGAGGCGCACCTAAAAAGCCAAAATACCCCTGTAAAGTTTTGGAGGTATTTTGATCAATTTGATTTTGAGGATTATTTTTTTATATTTTTATTAGGTGCGCCTTGATGAGAAGAATATATACCTAAAATTTCAAGTAATTTGGATTTATAGAAAAAAAATTAAAATTCAAATACCAAAAGAAGTTGTGACTGTCAGATTGGCCCAGATTCAATCTGAGTCATTGGAGTTTACTGTAGCAGTCAACTAGTGGGCGTACAGAATCCACTCCTATACATATTCTTTTCAAAAATATCGATTGATTACCAAAATCACCCAAAACCAAAACCGGCCACCAACCAAATGGTTAGCGGTTGAATCGCCCGATTTTTCCAACGGTGCTATCATTGTTCCTAATGGGGTACCTTTTGGCAGACATAAATCACAAACCAGGTCAAACGATCACACGAGTTTTGACATTTTCAAGATCATGCTCTCCACCCTTTTCGCTCTCATTGTACCGTACTCTTGTTAGGATATGCCTGAGCTTTTGCCTTTACAAATTCTTTGTCTCAAGTAAGTAAAATACTTTGATATGGCTGCAGTCCTATCAAAATAAGTAAAACTTCACCTTATAACTCATCGAAAATTGCAATTTAAGCATTAGAAAATATTTGTATGGATCATTTCGACTTAAACATTTTGTTTGTAAAAAAAATTAAGATTTCAAGTTATAGCAAATTATCTAGATCATTTATTTTGCCCAAAAAATAAGTGTTCACTTATCCACAAAATATATACCATTTTTTTAATTTCAAATTTTATTGTCAGTATTAGAAATTGATTTTAATACCGTCGTGAAGATTTCTGCCGAAAGTGTTTTCTGGCCAAGGATTTGAGAGGAGGCTTTATTTTTTGAACAAAGCCCAGGTATTATAGAAACTTCTTCCCTCAAATAATCACACACAGTTTTGACTTCCTGGGTCTCTCCCCTATCACTCAAGTCTATAGACCGTACTGTTGTTAGTGCGTGTATAGACCGTATTGTTATTAGGATATGTCACAACTTGTTCACAGACAGCACCTATCTGTCTAAACCAGCGTTTAAAAAAACGTCGAGTCGAACCGGACTCGCCCGGTTCGACTCGGAAATAGTGAAAAAGGAACCGGATCGCCCAAAAATCGGAAATCGTCCGGTTCTAAAGATAACCGGACGATTCTGTACAGTGAATCGCCGATTCACTGTACGGAATCGGCGAGTCCGAACAGTGAATCGCCGATTCAGTACGGTTTAATTTTTTTTTTTTTTTTTTTTTTTTTTTTTTTGTTTTTTGGTTTAATCCATTGATTAGATTTTTT